CTTCGGAGGATGTGGAGTTGATAGCTTGTTCAACCTCCTCGTCCGAAGAGATAGAGGGTTCCACTGCTGTTGTCGGATCCAAAACAGCCAGGAGACAGGGAAACGCGATGTAAGATGGAGAGCCACGCGCGAAAGCGACGAGATATGAACGCCTATTGAGGCAACCAGGAAGCAAGCAAGCTGGAGATGCCTACAACCCGGGTAGAAGTCGCCAACTGTACCCAAGAAAAGCTAGCTAGGTACGTATGCAAAAGGCTATCGTAAGGAGGGTCCACACGGTTGTCCTTCGGTCCTAAGGTCACTAACGACCCCGGTACAAGTGCTGGCGGGCGCAAGTGCGTGGCCTGGCACAGGGATACCTGAAACCCCGTACGCTTCGAAAGCGCAATAGGGTGCTACACAATACTAGATACTAGACTAAAAGCGCTCACGGGCACAACTGTGCAAAGTCACCATGGCAGCAGTGTCGGCGGGCACAGTCAAGAGTTTAGGAAAGTGGAGGGGATGCACGGGTAGAACCGAGTGTCGACAGAGAGGGATGATGGGTGCGCGCAGGGATAAACGTCAACACGAAACTTTGGTCAGAGCGCAGGGCTCATAACCTGATGAACAATGAAAAGTTGGTCAGACCGGGGATTGAACCCGGGTCATCCCATATGCGCTGGGAGGTGTTACCACTACACCATCCAACTGATACTAGAGTGTGAATTCTCCAGATTCCAACACAAGGTGCACATTGACGTGAAGTGACCTCACTTCGCGGCAACACTAGTTCCAGTCGCTGGGATTGCATCAGGCTATGTATACTGCACGTTCTCGCACGGCCCGGCTCCCGGTCTGCTTGACTCACTGTTCGGGCGTCCCAATCCTTATTCGGTTTCCTCTCTCGCCTCCTCTCCCTGCTCTCTGCATGCGCGCTCGTCAACGTCGGTCTCGCTCTCCATGCATCTTGGACTTGTGGGTTGCCTTGCTGCGTCACATTGATCATCGAATAGCCTGCGCTTCTCCAATACCACGCGCGTCTGCCTTGTTGATTTGTAGCTGAGGGAGAGGAGCGGTACTCACTCCCTACGCGCATGTTGTACCACATGGTGAGATCCGTCTATGTCCAGCCCATAAGTTCATCGGTCCTGAAACGTACTCACAGTAATGTCATGTACAGCATCATTCACAAGACAGCTCGTGCGTCCGCCGAATTAACCCAAACCGCCATGAGCACGCCGCAAAACAAGGCGGAACTAGGGCGACTATAACCAGATACATGGGTGTGGGACATGCGAGCGCGGCCGTCTGGTGAGCAGGGGAAGGGAGCAGAGGTGAGCCGTGCAGTTCATGGAGAGTGATCTCCCCACTCATGTATGCGCATGCTCCATCTGCCGTGGCCTCGCGCCCAACCCACCCCCCCCCCCCCATCTCGCAGTACGCCGCTCCTTGCACCCTCCACTCTCCCTTGCGTCCAGCCATCACCCACGCATCCTCCGCACGAAGCCGCGCGTGGCGAATTTGGCACTCCTACCAGATATATGTATTACAGGTAGAAACACGCCGTGCCATATGCCCCGTCAGTCCGCCCGAAGAGCCGAACGACGTACCGAGACAGATGCGGCTGCCAAAAGCCCACTCCCTGGAACACCTTCAATCGCACACCGCAGACGATGGTCAGTACATTTGGGACGACGTCAACGGGGTGGGCGAACGTAGCCCTCTATGCAGACCTCTGTAAGTCTTGGCTGCTCGATCGTGTTGATTCGATCAACTCTCAGATCTCATGGCGTACCAAGGCTGATTGCTGGGCCTTACGTTCGGTCGCCTTGCAAAAAAACGAACAAAGCGAAGACGATGAGGTTGTATGTACGGTCAGGATCGTACACAAGAACGGTCGCGATGCACTCTTCGATGTTATGGAGGGACGCATGCGGCTTTGGCCCCGAAGTTGGTAAGTCCCAATGCTCCCATGGGCTCGTTATATACCCGGTACTCACCCTGCCGCTATGCCCAAGTCTCAAGACTCTGCATTCGTTAGTGCTACCAAGACATCGCCCAGATCATGTTTCGTAGTCCCGGAAGCCTGCATTGCGCCTTACTCTCTGATGGTGCAGAACAAGACAACAGAAGAGGTCGCACTGAGCTTTCGATGGAATGACACCTTCAAATAGACGTCGCCGCCTGTACCACTCACTTCACCGCAGATAGTTGGCATCCGCGGGCAGCGGACACACCCGACTTTCCACCTCCGCAGTCAATGCTTGAGTGCCTTGGATTGCGCGATCAAAGTCAAGCCGGCAGTGCTAGAGGCCAACAAGGCGAGTGCGTCCTTGTTCTGCATGTACAACCGCACAGTGGAGTATCCCAGGCTCCAGATGACCTACGCAAGGCGCAGCCTGACATGACGTGCATCTTTTCAGCCGTAGCGTACATATCGAGACGAAACATGAAACGCGAACATCGACGGAACTTGAAGAGCTGCCTCCGTGTCAAGCCACCTCCATAGCCCTTCTTCGCCTCTATGTATTCGTAACCTGGCCGTCCACCTTGCGATCGATCGATATCCTAAGCTTACACCCCGATAGACCATGCGCTTCCTTCTACCCGATGACCGTGTAATCAAGTGCAAGCGGACGACGTACGTCTCGCGTACATGTCGCCTCAGCTTCTGCGATGTCGTGAGCATATGTAGAGATGGCAGCGCAGCCAGCAGCAGCTGGAACGGCTTTCAGTAGCAATCTTGGTCGACAAGGAGAGTTTTACCTTGGAAGAGTCCGGGGCGGGTTCATGGTTGTCGGCGTTGTTGGCATTGCATCGCTATCTTTCCATTTGAAGTGGTCATACGGTGCTGATAAAGGGCAAAAGAACGATTGTGTGACCCCTCCTACGCTCGCAAATGATGATGGCGCTTGATGACTCACGAGGGTCGAATGTCAACCTGAGCCGATTTGACTTCACCAACGCCGGGAAGCACTTCTGAACATGTGTACACCACCAATCTCGCCAGACTTCCCAGTCACACAGTTCGACCCATATCCGCCATTTCCTGCCCTGCTTGCCGACCTCTCCGTCGGCACTCGGCGGTGGAGAAGACTCATGAGACAACTGTTCCAGAACTCGACCAACTGTACTGAGAAGGTCTGCAAACTCCTTTCGAGTAAAGTGGGCTCCATGGAATGCAACGAGATGAATGCGTGGGCGAGGAACTTCGGAATCCCATGAGTCGAGCATCGCCTTGAGTTTGTCGAGCGACTGCCCCTCAGTCACGAGCTCCGGACCCAGGAAAATGTCCAATCGCTCGAGCGTCGAGCAGAGGCTCAAATCTACACCCACTGTGGACTCCGTGGTGGTGTCTCCTGATGTCATACGTCAGTGCGAAAGCCAGCTGGAAATGTCACCACGAAACAGAATCAACACACCACGCAGGACCATTTCTATGTCGTGGAAAAAGGGCACAGCGACTGACAATTCCCTGAGACGCGGCCCACAAGCGGATACCAATCTTCGGACGCATTGTATGTCCACGCCATACTGAACGGATGATGTTAGATGCGTGCCATGCATTTCGCAGAGTACATACCAGGTATAGCTCCTGCAGGTTTGGTGCAAATGGCCGTGCAGGAGCATGACTACCATCGGCTCGCAATCTCATGTTGAATGGCAGAGGGCCGAGGGCCACGCATCGCACACCGGCGCAATGTAGTGTTCGCAATGCGGGAAGGGAGTTTATCATCCTGGCCATGTCGCTGAAGTGTCCGAATGTAATATCAAAGATATGGAGTCGAGAGACAGTCGTGAATGCAGAGAAGTAGACCGCGAAGCGGGGATGGAGAGGAAGATATTGTAGGGGCTTCATGGTATCCGATTCGGACGTTCTAGGGTACGACTTGTCGTCTTCGCGAACACGATTTATAGTGACCTCTTGGAGATTAGGGAGCTTCCCATAGAGGGCGACGGGCAAGAGCGAGAGAGGACTGGCTGTGGTGTAAAGGGTGCGTCCGGTTAGTGTTACTTCATAGACATACTCGCACAGATGGGGCGCATTGTCGAGGACAGCGGAGAACTTCTGGAGTGCTGGGAGGTCGTGGAGAACGACCGAGTAGAACAGATTACGCTGGGAGCGTACACGCCAGGCTCTGCACACGAGGGCGCAGCGATGCAGGGCGCGAGAATCTTCAACTCGGTCCACGACAGTAAGCGAGTAAAGCATGTCGATTATGTTCTCGCAGACTTCAACGGGGAAGCGGCTGGCGTTGTGGTCGGGGTGAGCATGATCGTCGTCCATCGCAGATTCGCCCGAAACTGAGGAACCGTCCATGGAATGCAGAGCCTTGGGCGACGGATCGTATGTAGGATAGCAGTGAGTGAGCGAGGAGTGCCGTGGAACTCGCAATGGCTAGCGTTCTTATCGCTCCTGCCAGCCAGCGTCAACTGCGGGGTACCCAAGGCGATCAGCTGACTCGCGTCGGTTAAGTCCTCGCCCTGCGTCTTCATTCAGCTTGTTTATATACTTATCTTCGTGCTTGCCGTTTCCTCAATTCCTTCTACACGCTCCCTCAGAGTCGGCGTTCCTTTTCCCTACCATCTGTGCATCCTGGATGTAAATACCAGCTCGCAGTTTCCTTGACGGCAGATTCGGGAAGATCTAACGTTCGACTGCATGCGTTCACGGCTACTTGTCCGACTCTGATGCCGTTCTACTCTTCGCATCTCCCGCATCCTCCGAGGCCTGGTGCCGCGTTTCTTCGCCTGTCGTCCGCTTCATCAAAACACGCAAGGTGTAAATCTTACCATGTATGCACGTGGTATGTAGAACTGCACTGCAGGAGCCCCTCTGTGAGTACACAGTTCACGGCTGCATTGCGTCTAACCCAGGCTCACAGTACTACCAAGCACAAGATCCTCCACAAGGCCGCGCGTTCATCCGCTCCGCCAAAATGCGCGAGGCCGTATGGAGCGCGATCATATCCGGGTACATGGTACGGGCAAACATAATCATCTAGGAGGGCACAGGAAGCGAACAGCGGTAAGTCGTACAGTCCAAGAACAGTGACAACACATTCATATTTGTGCACGTACTCTTCTCGGCGATCCGCGCCGCTACGGCTCCGTCTTCCTCCGCAATCGGTCCCCTCTTACCTCGCGTCTCCCTCCGTCTGGCTGCCCTGGACGGACGTAGCAACGCCATCTGATATACACAGTCCTTTCCACATGGCCTATAACGGCCCATGTTTGTCCGCCTGAACAGCCGAGTTGCGATTTGGTAAGCCGACATGGTCGAGACCTCAGTCCACAATACAAGCCCAAGGCTCATCCGCTGCAGTGAACCGCAAGCACGTTTGGGACGACACGCTCGGTGTGTGCGGACGTGAGCGTCCGAGAGGACCTCAACAGTTTAGTTTTCATGCCCTCTCTTTGCAGCGCTCGTCGTATGTCGTGTAAGGACGAATCATACGCGCCCTTCGGTCAGCAGGAGCACTCTCCTACTTTGATGCCCCATTCACGAGACCCCCGTTGGACAGCCGTGCCAAGAGACCACCGTAATCGCGGGGCGCAGGAAGGGCAGGCTGCCCAACACCTCTGTTTCCGATGGCGACAGGGGCAAGACGACGAGCGACCTCGTGTCAAGGTTCGCATGTACTAGCGCTTGCGGGATCCTCTTCCGACACCGCCGTCCACTTGACCCTCTCCGTGACTAAGAGGTCGTCGCTGCGCGCAGCGAACATATCCGAGTCTGGCTCGTGAGTCAACCTCCAGATGTCTCACATCCCTCAAGCTCTGAGACTCAAGCCACACGGACGGTCCGGACGCGGCGATGCCGAGAGTTACCTTCTCCTGCGCTTGCTTCTCACCGTGACGATCTCCCGACGATACTACTAGCCCGTACCCTCTTCGCACTGCTCGCGCTGTTCTCTTCAAGGCCTTCGCTCCCGTGCGACGCCTCCATCAGTCTGGTGTCCGAGCTTACGATAATCTATGGGATGTACTGCCTGACGCGGCGACCATAAATTCCTCAGCCTCACACAGAGGCTACGAGGCCTCTCGCGTGGATACTCCGGATTATCAGCCCTGGCCGTCGCCAGTGGGGATCATCGTGAGTTCTCGGAGCCTCGGAAGCTTCTCGTGTGGGATGATGGGAAACTAGATGAGTAGATCCATTGTCCCTTCGCGATGTGTCCGAGGGGGCGCGCGGCGGCAGCTAGTCTAAATTGTTCCCAACGCAGACCAGGTCCACCATGAATAAGGCAAGAACGAACCTCCATTTACCGCAGCACCGCCGCCTCACGTCGTTTATATCGGACGTTCAATGTACCGTCAGCTGAAAATTGGATGCACTGGACAGCCACGATAGAAGTATCACATCGCTCCAGTGATCTTCCGTAGAGAGCGAGCAGAGTTGGTATGGTACTAGACAGCATATTGCATCTGTCCGGACCGCTGCAATGAACCAAATCCTAATAATGATAGATACAAAGCTGGACGACTAAACTACCATAGCCGGAACGATGCAGGTTTTCGTGATCAGACTTCTCGTCTCCGCTTTGTTGCCCTGCCCTTCTGTTGCCTGTGGGAACCCGATGAGCAAGCATCCGCATGGACAAGATGGACACCTACAAGAATTCCTCATTCTTTCTCTTGCGACTTTGCTTCTTGGCAGCGTTCCTCTGGAGCCTGCGCTTCGCTGCAACAACAGGGTCCGTAGTACTCTAAACGAAACGTAAATCACTTTCTGATTTCGATGTGACACACGCATGGACACACCTGTATGACACGCGCGGCCTTTCGATCCCGACGGACACTAAGGACTTGTTGCCGGATACCATTGTAGACGTTGGAGAACCTCGACGTGCCGACCTTGGTCTGAACGAGGTCTTGCAGTTCAACGGCAAGCGTCTTGAGTTCCTCTAAGGCTTCGGGTTAGATGGATAACAACAAGGAGTGACTTGCGCTACTCACCCATCTGCGGGTCCCGTACGGTATCGTCCTCGACAATGCGATAGACAGGGTTCAAAATATGCACAAGGAATTGCTCGACGACATCACCATCCATATAGGACACCATCGCTGCAAACCACTTCAAGACAGCTGCCGGTTGCTGAGACCAATTCGCCTGCGGGGTAAAAGTAAGCGAGCGTAAGAGATATAGCATGAGACCACACGCACCGCACTTCTGGCTTTGCTACGACGGCGAATGAGTGAAGCGCGAGCTTGGTAAGACAGCCGCGAGAATAACCGAGAAAGCGGATGATGTTCTCCGTTTTGCAGACTGTCGTCGTCCATGTCCTCAAGTTCCTCCGTTTGGTCCCCTTCCGAAGTGTCATGCATGTCATCGACAGGGACCTGCATGCCAGATGGCTGTAGCTCCAAGGCACAGAAGCACTTTCCGACATAGAAGAGATTCTTGACGATCTGCAAACTGAGCTGCTCATCGAGATTCTCGCTCTTCAGCTGCAACGACAGCTTAGCCGCAATCTCTTCCATGGCAGCACGAGAGAACAAAGACTCGCCACTCTTCGGCGCTGATACAGGTACGGCAGCAAAGAGCGATCCAAGGAGCCGGCAAGCGGCTGTGCGAACCCAGGCGTGAGGGAACAGAAGGAGCGTCACCACCGAGGACCAGTCGACTCCCCCATCCTCAGTAGCGAGCCCTGGTTCCTCACGGAGGGCTTTGGAAAAGACAAGTAGGGTATGATATGGCGTTTGCCAGCCCTGTGCCAAGACATCGTTCCCGTGGTGATCTGAGACCTCGCGGGGAGACGACGCAGCCTCGAGCGCAAAAGCACTACGACGGAGAAGAGAGTTCATGTCTTCTAGGATCGCCGACATGTGCGAAGCAACATCGGACTTGAGAAAGTCAACGATGAGCCCATACATTTGGGCAGATACGCGGGTGAGCTGGGGTTGAGCTTGCTGAACCGACCACGAATGCACGTGAGACATGATGACGTTGCGCTGTTTGGTCCCTAGACGCGTCAATAAGGCTTTGATGAGCTCCGCTGCCATTTCCCGACATTTGGCTGACTCATCGTTCGCGACGACCATGACAAGCCCGACGAACAATAAGTCGGAGTACTCCTGAACTAGTCCAGTCTCGAACTTGGCGACCATCGCGGACAAAAGCTCCATGACCGACTTTCGCCCACTTTCGTGGACGTAGGTCAGGTTTTTGACGAGGAATGTCAACTGGTTTTTCAACCGTCCCTTCCCTTGAGGATAGTCCAGGAGGAACTGGAGAAGAGCACCACGACAGAGCTCCTGCACTGAGGGAGATTGGCTCGTCACCATGATATCCGCGACCTTGTCCATGATGTCATAGATCTCGGGAACGACGAAGCGGCGTGCGACGATAGCGCGTAGCATGGTGAAGACGGCGGCCTGCCGGCAAGGCTCCTCCAAGTCGGGTGTCAGAAGCTCCAGTAGGTAGACGAGATCTTTCTCTTTGACTTGAGCCCCTGGATGGTCGCGGAGAATGGTGGCCAGCGACTTGAAGGCGGTTTGGATGGCTTCAGGTTCGGTGGAGCCTGCCTGCCTGATCACATCGATAATTTGACGTATGAAGACAGGTAGAGCCTTGTCGACGGACTTCAGCGGGCATTTGACAATTGCGGCCGCGGCCTTTAAGCCTGGACCAACGACCTGCATGTGCGACGAATAGAGAGTGTTTCCGATGACAGCCACCATGGGCTCCAGACGAGACATCATATTCGCATCCTTGAAATCGAACCGACCACGGCGATAAGCGGTATTAAAGAGCTCCAGGCCGAAGACAACAAAGCTGAAAACATGGTATGTTAGGAGGATCGGATACATGAGCACAGGACGGACGAACCGAAACGAGTTGTTGGCGTAATGGTCGCTATCATGAGCTGAACGACGTTTCAGCTGGACTATCGCGTGGTCTGTGCGTTTCACGCCTTTACCACGGAGCTCGGTTTTCGGGACGTCTTTGAGAAAGCGAGCGTTTTGACTGATGAGCGTATGACACAGCACCAATAGCTCGGCTGGGACGAGATGCGCATTGGAGTTCAAGCCACCCGCGATGCGTCGGAGGAGCTCCTCTACCTGCTGCATGACCTTCAGCGTCTCCGTCTCTTGTAGGATATTGCGGATAGGCAGGAGAAGACTGCTGATCTTCGGTGGCGTAATGTACTTCGCTAACAGAGCGAACGAGTCGACACCTTTCGACGACGATCCCCTGACCTCCCGCATCTTCGTCTTGAATCCTTCGGCCTGAACGTCCTTGCCTGACTCACCAAAGATGACCTCCGCGGAGACGGCAGCAACGTCAATGACGCAGTCATCGAGCGTCTCGAAAGCAGAAGCGTGATCCCCAGTAGTGACGTGCACAAGCAGAGTATGGACGGAGTAGGCCAGCACATGAAGATGGGGACCACGAAGCAGCGCGGCCCGCATCTCACGGATCAGAAGAGGCAGATAGCCAGGTCCTAGGATACAAGCGATACGACAGAGGGTATCCCGAACCAGGTCCCGAGTTTCCTGAGACTTGCTGCGCAGAGCCTGGCTGAGCACGGTAAGAAGCTTGGTGATCTGGGCGTCGCGAGACTCAGGAGACAGATGCTTGGCGATCTGGACGATACCGACGGCAACGGGTATTCGCAAGCTATCCTCGGTCTCATCACGCTTCTCCAAGTATAGGATCAGGCTCGGAAGAAGACGCGTGTTAACCGCGTCCTGGATACGAGCAAGTTTGGTAGTGTCTCGAACCGGCTCGGGAAGGGGCTTGGGCTCAGCTAGGGCCTCTTCGCCCTCCGCGTCTGCGCTCTCCATAGTCTGAGCTTCGTCCGAGCTGACGACTTCCTCCATAGGAAAATGAAAGCTATCGAGAACGGCTACGATAGTCCGGACGTAGACGCGCTCGGCCGCGTCCTTCTGCTTGGCTCGTTTCATATAACGCTGCACGAGAGCATGATACGCGCCCCAGCTGAGTCGTCTGGCCATCTGGCCCACGGCGTTGACGGCTTCGTTGACGAGATGATGATCGAGGGTGTCAGTGGGGACGATATAGTTGCCAACGAGCGGGATGAACACTTCCGCGAGCGTGGCGCTCCGAAGATGGCCTTCGTTGACGTGTTCCACTAATCGACGGATTGCACGACCGCGCCTATGGATCTGAATATGGTGGATGTTGTTGAAAAAGTTGGCCTCTTCGTCTCCGCCGGCAAGCAAGATGCGCATCTCTTGCAAAGACGCGATACCGTCGCACCGAGCGACTGCATGGGAAATTACGCCGAGGATTTCGGTGCGAACAAGTTCTGCCTTCGAGTGCAATCCGTTCTTGAGACCTGGATAGAGCACTTTCAAGAACGTCTCCTCGTATTCGCCCCGCTCGTCCGCCACCGAGTCGATGAATCGCTTGAGCGCTGTAGCTGCATTGCTCCGGATGGTAAGCTCGAGCGGGTCCTGGATGAAGCTGAGCGAGTTGTAGATGACCGGAAGCCATTCGCCACAAGAGAACGTTCCGTACAGCGAGTCATTGAGCTCGGCGAAGGCAGTCAAACGACGATCAAAATCTGGTTCGTCGAGACGCTTGGTGGAGTACGCGTTGAGCGACTCCATAAGCTGCGCAAGCGGTTCGATAGTCGGCTGGACTCGTGCGAGGGCATAGAACGACTGGATAAGGGCGATGCGTGAGGGCCGAGACCGCAAGATCTGAAACAATTGCGACAGCAGAGAATACGTCTTGCTGTAGACCGCGCTGCTAGCATCCGACAGGTCTTGAATGAGAGGGAAGAGGCTGCACAAGATGGTAGTCATATCGACCTTTACTTTCTCAGGGACAACCTGGTGGGGTTTACGCAAGAGAGGCGAGAACAGCTCGAGAAGCATCGTAGCCTGAGATGAATCTGACAGGTAGGGCGCGAGCTCAGAGAGTATCGTGATTTGCCGACGGCCTAGAACGTCGATTGCGGCGGAGACGTTGCCATTCGAGCGCGAGACAAGTGTGGACAGGTTTCTCAAGAGGTGAGATACGTGGGGCTTGAAGACTGTGTCAAGTATGGCGTCGTCGGCGACAGCATGGGACTGTAGCTGCTCGACGATATCAAACACCTTGGAGACCACCACCGGCTTCACGTTTGTCGCGGTGAGACAGTCGTACACTTTGGGGAGGACAGAGTCGTCATACTGCACCAGGTATGAGGCATACTCCCGACGTTGAGCCCAGGCGTGGAAGAGGTCGAGCAATGCCCCGGGCGCCTGAGTATTCTCGACGTCCAGAGAAGGGAGTCGAGGGGAGATGGCCGCTCGGAACGCCTCCGGCATGTACAACGAGAAGTCATAAACGACCGGACAACGGGAGAAGTCCGCAAGTCGCTTAAGCCCGAGCTGGCGTATATTCCTCAGCGTCCTCAACGATCCCATCGGCTCCTCGCGGTCCTCTTCCTCGGCTTCGGTGACCTCATCTTCCATGGGGTCGTCGACGCGACCATCCTTCTGTGCATCGAGGGCACCTTGTGCGCCCGCAATCAGGTGGAGCACTGTCTCAAGAAGGGCCTGCCAACGGTTTACCACCCGCGGGCCAAGATGCTTGAGGAGGTCCCCGAGCAGGGTCAAGAACCCGACCTGCTGCTTCTCTAACACCCCCTCCGGAACCGGACGTATCACGAACGGACCGCTTTCGACCTCCATCGACTGCTCTTTCCTCAGCGGCTGAAGCATCAAGTCCACGAGGAGCGTCAACTCCTCGTCCGAGCATCCCGCAAGGGAAGACAACACCGCCGCGCGCCGGTCCGCTCCCCGCGTGCGCCCCCTTTTCTCAAGCATCATGCCATAGAGCAGACGAATGATCACGCCGACCAGCTCGGGGCGTTCGTCTGCCTCCAATTGCGCAAAGTCGAGCTGCGTGAGCTCGTCACGCCACCTGGTGTCGTCGAGCAGCAGCCGGAGCGATTCCTCGTGCGGGAGCAGCCGAGGAGACTTGAACGTCAGGAGACACGAGAGCGCGAGCCGCTGCAGCCCGCGATCGGGATGGGAGAGGTGGGAGATGTACAGCGCGCGCATTGTCTCTGTCGAGCGGAACGCGTTCGGATTGTTGAACTTGGAGAAAAGCTTGAGCCACGCGCTGAGCTTGTACCGGGGGAGTTTCGAGGGCGCGTCGGGTCCGGCTAGTGAGAGGAAGTGTGGAATTAGGTCACGATTGTGCTTCTCGGCCAGAGATGAGCACTCCTCGAGCACCGCTAGCAGCTGCGTCTCGTACGTCGTCGCGTCCAGTCGGTCACCTATAGCCTGGCGCTGCGAGGCAGGCAACGTCAGCGCAAAACAAGTCACTCGAGACAACAACACGAACCTGCACAATAGAATGCTGCGCAGCTCTATGACAACTCCACTTCGCAATGGCCATCCGAAGTTTATGTGCGCTGGGATCTCGCCATGACCGCTCCTCTTCCCAGACATTGTCGCTCTCCTCGGCGACATCCTGCATCCACGCCGGCTTGGAGACCGTCCCGGTCGATCCCCATGACGCCCCCTTCACCTCCTCAAACAGAAGAACCCAAACCAGATCACCGAATCTACCAGCCAGCGTTGACAGCGCGGAGGCCGCTGGGCTCCACAGCGGACGCAGGTTGACCTTCAGCTGGGCTGACAACCAATGAGCAATACGGTGCTCTCAGGAGCAAAACAAGAACGTACCGATCAACCAACGCGCGCATATTTCCGCCGCGACGTCATCGCCATCCTTCACCATCAGCGGCAGCCTCCCGATGCGGAGCACGCGCTCGCGCACGCCCTGCACGTCGATGGAGATTTCCTCTGCTTGGAGAGCCTTCTGGAGGAGCTCTGCTGTTCCTTCGGGGGCTTGAACAAGCGGCGAGGTCAGGATACGCAACGCATTGAGTCGTAGCGAGCGCGAATGGGATAGTAGCGAGTCCTTCAGCAACTTGTAGACCGGGTCGAGGACACGCGGCGTGGTGTCGGGACGACTGGAAAAGGACACCAGGAGTGAATACATAGGCGGTTCCGGTCAGATGTCGTACGTACCTCGAACGCACGAGCTCCGCCAACCCCTCAAGCGCCGTGCCCGACCACCCCCACTTCTCGACCACCCTCCCAGCCCACCGAGGCAGATCCACGAGGCTCCCCCACTCCTTTACAGGACGCTCCGCGATGCACTGCGCACACGCACCAATCACCCACGCCGAGTTGGCATATGTCGCTTCGTACTCCGCGCGCGGATCATGCTCCGAGTCTTCCCACAATGCGAGCTCGCGGTCGATGATGTTGACGAGAAGCTTGGGAAGAGACGGGAGGAGGTCGGCGAGCGCGAGGACGTGCGCGAGCACCCGCGCCTGTGTCCAAGCGTTCAGCCAACTACGGCGTGACAAATGAGAGATCGTACGCACATTCTCCTCAGAACGCTCCCACCCTTCCAATCTTCTCTCGACCCACGTCCACAGCCTCTGCTTCCACACCACATCCATCTCCCCCAGCCTCTTCTCACGATGGAGCGCCGCTAGCAATTCGAGCGTCTCCCCAGAATGGCTCTCCAGCAACTTGTGCGTGTTCGCAGAGACATAGGGTAGCGCGACGAGCTTCCACCCGCCCCAAGATAGCTCCGAGAGCGCGCCGGTGAGCTCGATCCCAAGCAACGGTCGCTCCCAAGCATGCGCGAGGACCTTGCGCGCGTGCGCCATCCAGAGCGACATGTCCCCCGCCGTGAGCGCGCTAGTGGCGAATTTGAGGAGTGCGGAATGGAGGACCTCGGACGTGGGGATGGAGGGGTACTCCGAGAGAAGCGCGCTCAGTTGCTTGTCTAGGAGAGGACATGAGGTCTGGCTATTTGCAGGAAGAGGACCGAAGGAACTCACGGGACATCCGGGAGCCCTGGCGAACGGAGCACACGATGCTGATCGCTTCGAGGGCGCGGCGGACTCGTTCCTCGTCCGCGGACTTCACGACCTCCGCAAACCGGTCGACGATCGCTTCGGAAACGGGTGAGAACTGGTCTGCGCTCTTGCAATGATGGATGAGCGCAGTGAACACCCGCCGGATAAGGGTGTACGCCTCCTCTTCAGCATCGCAGGTCAGGTAGAATTGCAGGAGGGGGCAAACGAGACTCGACGTGACCGTGTGCAGCGTTTGGGAAACGGACTAGGGGATAGTGAGCGATGCACGAGGATCACGCTGGTGATACACGCACCTTGCAAGCCGTCACGAACGTCCACGCACACACGTCACCCAGACCTCCCGTAGAGCTCGACGCAACAACCCTCACGGCGTCCTCCCTCAGAGCCACCTTGAGCCGGCGGAGCACGGCGCCCCAGACTTCCGCTGTCGCCCGCTGCACCTCAGGATGGCATTGCGGGAGGACTTCGCAGAACGCGTTCCACGCTTGTTGGAGCAGCTCGGAATCAACAGAGGGTACGAGGACGTATTTGAAGAGAGCAGAGAAAGTGGCCAGAAGCGCAGTGAGAGCCTCTGCGGACAGGGAGCGGGGAAGTAGTTTCAGGAGTCGTCTGAGAACGCGAGGGTATTCCGGGGCGAGGGTCGTTCGCAGGTCGTGTGCGAGCTTTTGGAAAAGACTACGTACACCATTCGCAATCGGTTCTCGGGAGAGCAAGGAAGGGTACGCACTCTAAGATGGCCCGCAGCCCTTCGTCATCGCTCTTCGCTAGTGCTTCAAACCACTGCTCGAGTATCTCCTTCCAGTTGTGCAGCAGCAGAGGCATCGAGGCGGATAGCGGGTCGGCATCGCGAGCGAATTTGAGGAAGGCGGGGGCGAGGTTGAGATCTTGCCAGTGGAGGAGGGCTTCATGGAAGTGCGAATCAGTGTCCTACAACGCAAATGAGCCATGTTTCCATTCACGTCGATTATCGCTAGCTTACGGTGAGCTCTTGATCGAATTTTGTTTGGTCAAGGGCGGAAGGTAGGTGGACGCTCTTTAGAGTGTCCTTGTAGGATTCGTGCTGCGATTTCTCGTCAGCCGTATATTCATATGAGTTATCCATGCCTGCGCGTACCTTGAATCGTTTTGCTGGACGCTGTTGTGGGTGATCTTCCATGTTGGACGGAGAGGAAGAGTGAGCAACTCTCAGAAGCGGAAAATCTGGTCCAGTTAACGCTCACAAGTCCTTTGCTTGTGAGTTTGACAAGTATGGCTTACGTGATATTGGTGGCCATCTATAGCCAATTCAAACCAGATAACAAATCAAGTAATGTATCAGTATTCCTATCGTCTTCTGTAAACTCTTATTCTACCCCCATCCTCCGATGCTTTTGTAACCCGCGCAACAACGTCGACGCGATGCAGTCCAGGTGCGTACAAATTGGCAATCCCCTGCAAATCAAACAGTTGACAAGTGATGTTGATGGGGGGGCAAGGGCGGGGCAAGCCGCAGACGTCAGCGTACGAGATCCAGAACACATCACAGACGGTTTCAGGCAGAGATATATATTGACCGCCCGACGCCCACTGCGCCCGCGAGCTCCCACCTTTTCTACCGGGTCAGTATCCTACACACTCCTTTCTTTACCTATCTGTCTCTTAGGCCTTCCAGCCTACGCCTTACGCTTTTGCGTCAGTCCTTGTCCTTCACGTCCTCTTAGTCGATAAATTACGTGACGGTGAGCTTCGGCTTCCAAATTCGCGCGGGCGTGTGATCTGACGGAACGCGGACCTTGGACTGTTTGAGCAGGTCATCCCGCGGCCAACGACCTTGTCAGACCTGTCGTTTCTCACCCCCCTTCCACCATGTCGACCACGGCGACCCCGAGTCCCTCCGCCAATGTAAGCTCGTCACAATCGCACTCAGCAACAGCGTTGGCTTTAGGCATCTCCCTCGCTGTCGTTGCATCTATCGTCTTCGGCGGCCTTGCGGTCTACTTCGTGCGGAGACATATGCGGCGGAAGAAGGCTCAGGAGCGCGTCGAGGAAATCTCGTCACATAGGCGGACATACATGGTTTCAGTCGACCCTTCGCATCTCGCTGCAAGGGTAACGCCTTTCGGGGTTGGGGTGAATGCGCCGGACGTTGAGGTGCCAAAGTTCGGTGAGTCTTCGTGTCCTGAGTATTCTTCCCCCCCTCCGGATCTTTTCGCGGTTGCTTGTGATGTTTGACGCACCTCTCGCGAGCCTGTGCGGGGTTTTCTCTGCCAATACTGCAAACATCATCTGTCTCAGATGCGCACCGACTACGGTCAACGTGTGACAGTCAGCGGCGGATGGATGTGCGAGACATGAGCATGTGGATGGCATCTTCCGGCGGGGCTGGATATGGGAGCATAGCTGTTGAAGCGGAACCGCATAATGCGGGAGCGCAAACAGCCAAGTTGATCCCGGTCATGAAGCACGCCCCTGCAATGCAGTTCCCAGTTTCGCGCCCTCCATCGCGTCAGATGTCGCGCGTGCAGCGCAGATAGCAGGAAGATAGATGGTACGGACGCGTCGTGCGAATCCCATGTTCAGCGTCCTTGCAATTGCTTCCGCTCCTACACCAACTCGACCATGCTCACTTTGCGCTCACACCCATCCTTCCCGCTTACATCACTTTTCTCTTATACATTCACGCGCTGACCCGCTATACGTAGTGCACACCCCTGGGGAGAATATGCGTGTCGCGTATCGGCGTTCTGATGGTGGGTGGTCCTTCCACCAAACAACGCCACAGCCTTCAGTCGACCTCCAACGCGAGGCGACGACGTCGACTATGTTCCGCTTGTGCCCAAGTCAAGGAGGCACGAAGGAGAAGAAGCTCCGTCCTGGGGAACTAACGACGCGCGGGTACGTCGAGCCTGACGTCGAGGGCAACCCTCCTCCTGCGTACTACCATGACGAAAGCGTGTTCAGCGATAGCACGAGTAACGCCGCGTGAACGCGACTTCTGGATGATGATTGCTCATAGTCATGCGCTCGCTATACACCTATGATGTCCCCTCACGCTATGTTTTGCACCATGCTATACGCTGCTCGCCAACACGCTATCGGATCGCCCATGCTCTCTATGCGTATTTATCGGACGCAGTAATTGCCGCTCATTTGTATCTATCCCCTACCCCTCTTCTCCTCCGTTCTCTTCAAAGTCGCAAGCTCCCTCTGTCCTAAAGGATTCGGGAGTCAGTTGTAGCCAAAACCGCTCGATCTCGAAGTTGAGACGCGTTCCCTCGGGCTACGTCCGTTCTTTTGATTCTATTTATCGTAGATTCAATCCTCTTCGCCTTAGAGCGCAGACGCGCTGATTTCTCTTTTGAACGCACTTGAAGTAGCACTTATGTAGTTGTATCCGGATAATTGTTGTCTGGTGCTTGATTGGAGCCAAGACTGAGTACGTGTGTCCTCTCGTTATGCATGTGTAAGCGCCTACATATGCGGAAGCTAGGGCTCCGGAGCATCGTTTCCTCTGCCCTCGACTCCTCACCTTATCATGCCGCCCAGACCGGCAACGAAGCCGACAACGAAGTCGGGCCCACAGAAGTCAAGTCCAGCAAAGTCCAGCAGGACGTCCCGCCAGAAGGCCGCCCCGAAGCAGCCCCTCCCCGTCGCGGACCGCCTCAAAAGACTTTTCACGTCGCTCTGCGCGCAGATCGACGGCGGGCACTTTGCGAACGCGATCAAGACGTGCGATAAGAGTGGGTTCCTTGTCGGCTCGCATGCGAGGCTTCGAGGTGGCTTGGTAACGCTGATCGGACGACAGTCTTGCGCCTTGACAAGCACGACCCCGACGCGCTACAGACGAAGCTCTTCCTCCTCCTCCAGACGGACCAGTATGCCGCTGCGCTCGCGATGGCCGATGCCCCGAGCGGGCTTCCCGGCGATACGGAGAGTACGGTGAAGGATCATACGTTCGAGAAGGCGTACTCGCTATACAGGCTGCACAGGGAGGCGGATGCGTCGGAGGCCATGAAGGAGCTCAAGGATAGGAGCGATGAGGTGGACAGGGGTGTGTTGCACCTAGAGGCTCAGCTGGTACGTTTCTCATCTCTGGCATGCTAGCGGGAGGTTGGCTGAATGGGATGTGTTGTAGGCGTATCGGCAGGGGAATTACCAGACCGCATTTGAGCTGTACAACCAGCTGCTCGATACCGCAGACCCAGTACGTTATGTGTCTCATGGAGTTCTCGATGCTCCCCGCATCGCTTGGGAGGTGGAGGTTCGAGCCAGGGGTGCGGATGCGAGATGTCTGAAGGTTCCCTCCAGGCGACCGCGCGATATCGCGTCGGCATTCATACGCTTGATCTTAAGCCCGTAACGCTTCGGCCCCGTTGAGACCGTGCGGCCAGTCCACCTATGAGGGCGAGCATTCGATGAATGCCGTGCGCTGTCGCATCACGCAAGGTGGACTCATACAACGCGCAGCCGGCGAAGGGACCGCGTCCTCACCTGTCACGAGGACCCTGCCTGTCATTTGCATGCCCTTGCGCTAACCATCCCCTCCCCTCTCCCACTCCCAGAACTCAGAAGAGCACTCCGACATCCTCACGAACCTTGAAGCGGCACAGAAGCACGTCGACTTCCTCACGTCCGGCTTCCTCCACGCGCTCGACGCGCTCCCCCCGGCCGTCTCGAGCACTCTCGAATCCGCACCGCCGCCAGTGGCGCAGCCCCACCAACAGCAGCAGGCCGTGCTCGCGTCCGCGCAAGCCCCCTCTGAGACGCAGAAACCACGGAAGGTGCGGATGAAGCGCGTGCCGAAGGGTGTCGTGCCCGGGGTCACGCCACCTCCGGATCCGGAGCGGTGGCTGAAGAAGAGCGAGCGGACCACGTCTGGGCAAGGGGGCAGACGGAGGAAGGGTGGTGCGGGTGGTGGGGCGACCCAGGGCGCTATGGAGTCTACCGGAGGTGCTGGGGGCAAGAAATCTGGTGGGGGTAAAGGGAAGAAGAAGTAGGCACGGGGGACCGGAAGGGTAGACGGCGCTGTAACGTGGTTGGTGTACAAAGGTTTAGGCGAGTCGGTGATCTCTTCTGTCACTGACATGCCGCGATTGAACCTGGTACATGCAGGGTTGTGTTCGCCAGCGTGTCATTGATTAAGGTTGCCTCGTGTACGTATATTGTGCATTGTATTAATTATGGTGCTGATCACAGCAGACTCCCAATTACCGACCTCGTGCTGCGGGGGAAGGTTTGCGGCCGTTCGATGGACCCAATCACGATTGCGCGTTATCAGCATTGTCTTTGTCCATCTCCTTCATGAACCAGCCCGGTAAGGTGGCAATTCGTCCACCTGGCTTGAAACGCCGTCGGGAGTCCCATCCTTGGCGTCCAGATGTGGACACGTGAATGCGCGTGGCGTTCGCGAGGTCGAAGACCATTTTGCGCGAGGTCGTTCAGGCCAGGCATAACTCGGTAGGCGAGGTCGAGTCTGTGAAGAGTCGGACGTCCACGCGCTTGGATGAATGGATCTTGGAGGATGGTGCTGAAGGCCCGTTCCTTGCACTTGCGTTCATGAAGACGGGAGTACTGCATAATATTGCCGTGGCATTGCTATGACTTCTGGAGAAACCTCATACAAGTCATGAAGGGGTTACCGTTGCTCCTGGGGACACCAGTCTCGGGAGTGCACCTCGGAGATGCGAGTGCGGGTTCAAAGGAAGACGGGTTTCTCCATCTCCGCTGCGAAACCTTGTACAAGCCTTGTCATAATTATCATGACGCTCATGATCCAGATCGCTATGTCGGTCTTCCATTGTCGATGTCAGACAAGCATGTTTCTTCCTGCCCTAACAGTCTAGGCGCGTGTTCGCCGCTCCAACACCTCGCGTTTCCGCATACAAGAGCAGACGTGCAGCGGACTTGGAGCCCTCAGCACTGCGGTCTCCTCCAGAGTCCTCAAGCTTCAGCCGAGCATTCGCTATACACTTCTAACGTCCACCATTCAGACCCACCACAACAGAAATGGCTCACCACGACGTCCTCGGCGCTGTCATCCTCGCTCGTAACGGCGACCGTACTCAGTGCTTCCAGCACCCCATCACCCAGAAGCCGGGGCCTACCCGTAGTACCCCGCTCGGTGAGGTGCGTCTGTTTCCAATTCGATGTCGTGTCTCCTTTTCTTCCTCTGTATTATCCGTTACACTGCGATGGAGGGCTAAGTGACGTGCTTTCACACGTAGGTTCAAGCGCATCAGCTTGGTCAATACCTTCGCGGCATCTATCTTGATCCATCGTCCTCATCACACATCCGCGGTATTCACTCCGACCTCGTTGATCTCACCGAGGTCGCCGTCCGCGTCAAGGTCGGTGGCGAGGGCGCCGCGGTCTTCGACTCCGCCACCGCGCTCCTCCAGGGCCTCTTTCCCCCGAACCCGGACAACAGGATCACGCTCGCGAACGAGACGACGGTCGTCGCGCCCCTCGGGGGCTACCAGTACGTTCCTGTTGAGACTGTGGAGCCCAGCAACGACCGCTCTCTCGAGCCGTGGACAGACTGTCCGGTAAGTCCGTTCGTGGTTGTCAGTTTGAGGGAGAGCGTTGTGAAATAAAGATTTGGAAATTCAGGCGTTCCAGAACCATGTCCAGAAGATGTACGCATCGTCCGAATTCAAGGAGGCTTCAAAGGCTGCCCAGCCTTTCTTCCATGCGCTCAGAGACTTCGCGTTTGGCCAGGAGCTTACCCTCGAGAACGCGTACAACGTACGTCCAACACGCTACCACGTTGCATCTGCGTTACAGTCTCTAACGTGGATCTATTTCCACTCAGGTTTGGGACTTCGTTCAGGCGGGATTGATTCACAACAAGACGTACGCTCACCGCCTGCCGCCCACGTTTATTGAGCAGGCGCGTGGCTTTGCCAACCTGCGCGAGGATCTGGTCTACTCCGACAAGCAAATGGGTGGTATCGGAAACAGTGAGGCTCCCTCACCATAGAAGTGAAAAGGAAAGGGGGAAATTGCTGACGATTGCGGTAGTTGCCAGCAGGACCGCCCTCAGCTCGATCCTCAAGGCCCTGCAGCGCATTGCTTTCAACGGCGACCCGCTCCAACTGATGGTCATCCAGACGACATACCAGCCTTTCATCTCGTTCTTTCACCAGACCGAGGTCGTGAAGTCCCACCCCGAGCTTGCAGCCATACGTAAGTGTCCACTTTTTTCGCCGAGCCTACCAGCCTAACGTTGCTCACAGCCGACTTCGGCTCCGCGCTCGCGATCGAGCTCCGCCGCGGTCCCCCTCCGGACGCTCGCGACTTCCTCCGCTTCAAGTTCCGTAACGGCACGACCGACGACTTCGAGACGATCCACGTGTTCAAGCACCGCGAGGATATTCCGCTCACCGAGTTCATCTACCGTCTCGAGAATTCAGTCATCAACAGCAATCGCGAGTGGGCGCAGGCATGCAGCGCGTCGTCCTCGACCGTCCAGGCGGCCTGGACGAAACTTGGGCTCCCCGAAGGCGCGACGACCGGCAATGCGACCGCTGACGCTGCTGTCGGCTTCGTTCTTGCGTGCGTGATGTTCCTCGGGTTGTTCTTTGCTGCGAAGTTCGTTCGTGGCAGGAGGGCCGTGCGCCTTCGCGGTCCCGAGGTGCGTATCCCTGTTTGTACGTGTTGAAAGTGGCGACGGCAACTAACTATGGAACATTGATAGGAGAGCCTCTCGTCCGTCCCTTCCGAGAACGTTGTTCAGGGTCGCGATGGCAAGGCAGCTACTCGCTACTAAGCAGCTCGCAGATCAAGGTTGTTCATGTAACATCTGACTAGGACAATTTCTTGTGAAGGACGTTATGTAATAGTGATGTCTTGGGTAGCCTTTGTACGTTGTCTCTCATGGATTGTAATACTATCGGATCGTTGGCACAGCATGCATCTATGTATGTCACCCCAATGATGCTCAGATCATGTGCGTACATGAAAGCTGGGTGCCCTGGATAGGCAACGAGTACTCTTTATTCAATTATCAATCTTCTGTCAGGCCTGGACATATAGAGTACTCGAGGTCTGCGTCCGAATCGGTTTGGTCCAGGTGCCAATGTCACCAGACATCAGAAAAACCTGCGCAGGTCTTAGAGTGCCGAGTAAGACCTTTCAGAGCTCTAAGAGCTGCCTTGTAAGGGAATTTATAGGCGTCTACGCACCGCCACCCGTTAGCGCGCAAGATCTGTAAGAACTCGTTTAAGAGGTCGGATTGTGTCACCGACACCAGGTGCACAAAGCGTCCAAAAGCCCCCACAGCTCTCATGCATGATTGCGGGTAGCCAGGGATGCTCTCTGCCTGATTTGAAGGAGAACAGACGCCGGAAAACTGCAGGATGCAGAGCGCAAGTTGGCGGGAGGTGCCATTTAAGAGTTTTCAGCACTCAGAGATTGTCGGTTTTACTGATGCGAGGGTGTCATGGGTATGACACATTAGTTAATACTTAGTACCTTCAGCGCAGCAACTCTCGCAATGCAACACCTGAAAATGCCCTCGGCGACTCGAACGTGGAACGTATACCGGAGGTTCCCGAAACAAGGACAGCAGCCTGGTCGAAGTGTTCGTCCTTCACGTCATCAGTACTCGAACAAGAAAGACGCGCTGGGCAGAAGAAGCGCCATAGAGATACCGGCAGCGCTAATTGTCCGTCGTGCGATCAGTCTCTGCCTTCCTGATATGCTTGGGCCTCTTTCACGGTTCCCAGCAACTCTCGCGATGGACGGCGATCTTGCTCCTGCCCGTCATACGATCAGCCGCTTCCCCGTCGAGGTCTGTGAGAACATAATAGACCTCCTTTACTCGGTGGACGTCAAAGACCAAGTAGAACATTCCCGCGCCTTACACCACTGCGCCCTAGTATGCAGAGCTTGGCGTGTTCGCTCACAACGCAATCTGTTCTACTCGGTCGTTCTCCATGACCTCCCAGCACTTCATAGGTTTGCGGCCGTCCTCGGCAACGGACCTCATCTACGCGACTACGTCCACGAAGTGACGCTCATCGGACGCACCCTCCACACCACAGCAAGTCCCCTCTCGGTCTTTCCTGTCGTCCTTCATGGGAAGCTTCCCAGGCTAGAGGAACTTACGATCAACCATGTTCGCGAAGACGAGAGCTGGTACCCCAGAAAACCCGTAGTATCGGAGATCGCGAAGCCTCTACAGTACCTGCCTCTGCATCCCCGCTTCCCCCATTTTCTCTCGGCATTCAAGAATGTCGCTCGTCTCTTTGTCATCAAGGTTACATTCCTGCACCTCAACGACTTTGTCAGGATCGTCAACGCCCTTCCGGCCTTGCAAATGCTTTATTGCCATCATGTGCGCTGGAGGACCCTCGGCCCTCTCCCGGTGTCTACAAGACCGAACCTAGACGAGCTGCAACTGGTATGAACCTGCGATATACGTAGCCCACTCGCCGTAACACTATTCATCCAGTTTGACGTGGATATACACTGCGTCCAAAGACTTGTATCGGCATGCGGGCCCCGTCTCAGGACATTGACGGTTAGCATGCCCTTCTTCCACGATGCAGAAATGCTCCATCCCGGTGTGTATATTTCGCTTTACGTTGTCGTTGCCAGCCTAGCTGTGTCATTGACGCACCGCACTAGTCAACCCCACCACGGAGCACACGATGGGCATCGACTTGAGCCTCTGCTCGACGCTCGACCGATCGTACATCTGGCTGGGTGCGGAGTTCGTCTCCGACGGAAAGTCGCTGGACATACTCAGGGCGATGCTCGACACCTGGCAATGTGTGGCTCCTCTCCGACAGATCGCCCTCGCAGCAGTCCCGCAAAGCGACTTTACGCGGCAATGCTTCGCAGATCTTCTCGTTACAGTGGGTCGCGTTCTGGAGGACTGGCTTCGTGGATCTCCGGCACCCTTGAATGCAGACGGAGAGGACGGCAAACAGGGCAGTGGACGACGGCGGATAGTGGTCTATACGTACGACTGGGAGGTCTGGCAGACTTGGTGGTGGACGCATCTCCGAGGGTGTTTCCCGACATTCGCAAAGCCTGGTGAGCTCTGGATGAGCTATGAGCCTCGTAAGTGATCCCCCAGTATTGTGGCTTGCAGACGCGCGAAGGTATCTCATTGTATCGCTTGCAATCTACTAGCTCCCAATGACCGACTGAAGTGGCAAGACATCCATGCACCGCCGCCAATAATCCCGACCACTGGCTAGTAAACTGGTCGGGGACTCGACGAAGGTGGAGCTTCACGTACGCCGGCACTGTCCGACAGATGCGGTTGATGCTGCTACTAACCGCGCTATCACCTTCGCATGCTCGCCACCGGGACCAGGTCCGACATGTACGCGGACGGTACGTCGTCCGGGGTCGTCGGAGTGGAGCACGGGCTTGAGTGGGTGGTGATCGGCACAGAGGAGCAGGCTTTGCTTGGGCGTGAGGCTGGGGAAGGCTGAAATAACACAAGGCGGAGAACAGTGAAGCGATGGAGGCGAAGAGGGCTAAGTGTATTATCAAAGGGGATTGGACCGGGCGGGGTTTCGATTTGATTAGCGTTTCAGGTATCATGTCGACGTGTGTGCTTCTGAGTACTGAAAACGCGCCGCGTCAAGCTGTGCACTGCGTAAACCATCGTGAACGTGGGGATTCTGAAGTGTGGGGCCATCGCTGCTGCGGATGAGGCCTAGAAATCGACAGTGGCACCGGTGCGAAGACGGGACGGGCTAGGAGTGTATGGAATTCTACGGCTGGCATAAAGACCTGTGCTTCTCCTTACCTCCGGTAACAATGGTGTGACTTTGTTGAGTGCGCAACCTGAGAGGAAGGCATCCGAGAGTTTACTCCGGAGGAAGAGAGTCGGGTACATCCCCTGCCAACAGAGGTGGATAGAGCTGCACAGGTGGCGGCGTTCTGGATGATCTGCAGGTGTAACTCGATTGGTACCGAGCTCGTCTATCACCTTCTCCTTGTCACCAACAGAGAGCGAGGCGCAGCGCAGGCTCCCGGGTCTGTAGAACGTACTCCCGGACGTCTCTTAGTGGGGCCCGAGAATGCGGAGCCTTGAGACTTTTGCTTAGACGTAGGATGAGTACTACGTATGTCCAACAAGCTCATAGGATTGGCACCTACTGCAGCCGTGTCTGAGGCCCTCTGCGTCCCCCATAGCAACAACGACTCCAGCGGAGCCGCTCTTGCGCATAGCCTTGACCGCGCCGACAATTCTGACATATTCATTTGGCTCGCACTTCGGAAGGACGACTAGCTGCGAGACGTTGTATGCGGTGTGGACGTGCTATCAAGGCTACTAACAATTGACAATGTCAAATATTGAGTACTGACGAACGTCGTCTTGGACACTTACGTCCACCTATGCCTTGCATATCGTCTCAAACCTGCTCCCGGCGGTCTGAAGTCTACGGCTGAACTTGCTTTGGGGCCTTGGGTTTTGGCAGTCGCTTCCATTTGAGTTCATGATTTGGCTGTTCAGGCGGACGAACGCGGGGGTGTCGCAGAGCGCGCTGGTACGTAACATGTGTATCTGGTGTGGGTTCTGCAGCTGTCCAGTGAAACTTCGCCGGTAGGGTACTAAGGAACGCAAAGGACGTAAGGGAGGAAGTGGGGAGCGACGGGCTGGGAGCGAAGATGGAGCCATAGCAGATGATTAGGAGGAGCGCACCCGCACACCTGGATGGGGAGACCGCTCTCCATAGACCGCACGACCCACCACAGCTCCCTTCCCTCAACCCCCGAAGACAGCTACGTTCGCCTGTGCGACTTCAACGAACCCAAATGCGGCTGCGTGTGTTCAGCCTTGTTTTCGTGACGTGCTCAGGTCAGTCGGGAGTGGTTGTGTGGGGCAGGCTAATGCGTAGTCTTGTGGCTAACGTTATACGTGAGTGCTGTTCAAGACCAACGAAAACGTGAGAGTGATACTTACAATGATTTCACACATCTGTACATCATGCGCGTAGACAGCGAGCTTGGCTCCTCCTGATCCACAATACAATAGCCCCAGGGCATGCGCTGTCGGAAGATAATGCATCAGCCGGAATCAGCAATCAGGATTACAGAAAGTGGGATCGACGTCGGCGAACGCGCGCAGATCAGAAAGTGCCTAAGAAAAGCCAAGCGAGAGGAGAGACAAACAAGAGCGGGAACGCAGGGCAGCTAGAAGCATTGAGCAGGCCCTGACCGAGTGGCCAGCTGCAGTGACTTTTCGGGCTGCACATTCCCCGTGGCTTTGGAATTCCTTACGGACATGCGTGCAAGGTTGAAGGAGACGAAGATCCTAGTACTGGTTAAGACGAGCGTGGGACAGGCACACGGGCGTTCACGTGGACGCGCTTTCGGCTGATCGACGGTTGTCTCTTCCTCTCAACTTGGCGGTTTTCGTGACTCACTCGCCCAGAATGACGAGTTCGGGCTGCTTTCTTCGTCGCGGGCAATGACCGATAGCGTCTCGTGAGCTTGCTTGTCGTGCCATATATCCAGATACCATTATTACACAGTACACGCAGTACCCTCCAGCTTCTTGTCTGACCTATGAGTGACGACTATGCGGTCTATCCACCCTGGAGCTCTTCCATGATAGGTTCCTCCGCCAGAACCTATTCCGTAAGCTCACTGGTATTTTTTCTCTAATGCTTCTCAGGGTGCGTAGGATGTTGTGAGACAGTGTCATTACTGTTATGGTGAGCACTCCGTCCACTAAAGACACCGTCGTACATGCGCGCTGACTAGGCATCGTGCATAGGGATCATGAAATACGTCCACCAACCACGAGTGCCGAGAGAGGAGTATATTGCGAACGCCTGCCTGCACTATTCAACATCGAGGTATCCTCATATCATTCACTATGGCTATAAGGCTCAATCAATGATGTGAAACTCTACAACAACGCAGCGATCGCCTTGCTACAGATGTGGGTCCCGCCTTGGTCTTGTCAGGTTTGTCCCTCCACTGAAAGTATGGTTAAAAGGGTTTTCCGCCATCATCGCTCGAGTCCCTCCGACTGGACTCGAGCCCTCGCTAGGCGTGATATAACATGGTCAGCTCTTTCTATGTCTCGAAATACGGAAGGGAATACTCATCAGAGTGGGTGCATTGATGATCCAGAACGTAGAACTGCTTGGTAATCTCGAATTTTCACAAACCTCCTTGCATGAGCTGATTTCCAGTCGACCTTTGCAGAGTTCAAGGCAAGAATCTCGAGAGGCTTCTACCGTTATGCGCGTGGGGTATGTACGCGATACAGCGCGTCTCTGTAGTATATAATGGCCACCGAAATTGGCCCATCTTACGCATCACACTCCCAACTCGCGAACCGCCTTCAAATCGCAAACCGCCTGTTTCAACTGGCAAAACCGCCATGACTAGCCCCGCGACTCGCAAACTTGGCAATGCGGATGTTCGGCGATGAATGCATGCCCATCTTCGGTCTTCCGCTGACTATGCTACGGGCACCTAGGCTCTGGACGCCGTCCTTGAGAACGGATATATTCACATCGACACTGCTGACGCCTACAATGACAACGAAAGGCTGATCGGCAAATGGTTAGCAGACCTTCTTCCAAGCCACCCTCTATCCCATACTCTTCTCGCTCAGTCCTTCTTGCTCAGGTTGCAGAAGAGCGGTAGGAGAAAGGACATCTTCCTCGCTACCCAATTCGGATTTGCCATCGATGGAAAACCGTTCCCGGACCGCCGCATAGTCTGCGGCGACCCCGAGTACGTGACCCCGAGTATGTTGCTAAAGCTATTGATCGCTCGTTGCAGCAGCTCGGTACCGACTATGTCGACCTGTGGTACCTGAACCGGTACGTTCTCCAAATGGGATACAATAATGCAATTCTATGACGACGATGCGTACATCGCAGCACCGACCCAATGGTTCCCATTGAGATAAGTGTGAAGGACCCCGGTCGTCCTTGGGGGAGGTATGTTAACTGCTGTACCACAGCGCACCGTAGAAGCGATGGCCGAGCAAGTGAAGTGCGTGATCTGACTACCACTGCTCCATCTCTGTCTCACCGCAGTGCTTCCTCCCCCCTTTTTCCTAGGGCCGGGAAAGTAAAGTATCCGAAGTGTCAGCTGACACTCTCAGGCGCCCCCACGCCATGCACCCATCGCTGCGCTTCAAATAGAGTATTCCCCCTTCGCCTTGGACATCGAGGACGAGAAGTACGGGGCCATCCTGAAGACCGCCCGAGAGCTCGGGGTCAAGATTGTCGCATACTCGCCTGTCGGACGAGGCATCCTCGCGGGAAAATACGTGCGTCCCACGATCAGTCTACATGACGAAGACCCCGCACGCGTGACTAAGTTCATCGTTACCTCCTTGTGGTGTGGAACTCGCTTGCTGACTTGCCGGAGGACGACACGCGGCGCTATCTCCCTCGTTTTTCCGCGGAGAACTCCCCCAAAGTCCTCCAGGCCGTCGACGTAATCAAGGGCATCGCCGCCAAGCACGGTGTGACCACCGGCCAGGTCACCCTCGCCTGGCTTCTCGCACAGGGAGACGACATTCTGGTAATTCCCGGTTCTCGCAACCCTGCAGCACGTATCCTGCCAGTGATCCTAGACAACACACACCAGCTCAGATTGTCGATGCATTGCTACAGAATATGAAGGAGAACACCATGATCGGAGCCGTCGACGTTAAGCTCACCGCCGAGGAAGTCGATCTGATCCGCAAGGCTGCTGTCAGCGCAGACCAAGCCGATGTGTTACCCTCCTGCATTCCAGGCTCTTCTCATGGTGGACACGCCCTTCTTGGAGTGAGGCCGCGTATTGTCGCTCATAATGGAGTAGCCGCTATCGACAATGAATTGTGTAATATGTATGCACGTTCTTGAATGTGAAATAGAAACACCTCTCCGGTTTCATCCCATCGACGACGAGCAGGCGACGACTCCGCTCGAACAACCACCGTCATGCATGTATGATGATGGCTAAGGCAGCGTTGGGTCTTATGTTGGTATCCACAGGCAAAACTAGAGTCAAAGCTTGCGAACACACATATATACGATGGTTGGACACAAAAAGTACAGCACTTGGTTCGTCGCGTTCAGGGTCCATGTCCATCAGATTCTGTTGCTCTATCCTCCCTGTCTTCCTGCCCGTGCAACACCCATTCACAACACATTGCACTTTGACCCAACTGTCCCCCACACATCCCATCCCCCTGCAGCCGCCCCCGCCTCCGCACCAGAAGACGCCTCGTTCTGGGTGACATCCCCTCCCCTAAGCACGTTCGCGGCGTTGAAACCCGCAGTAGGCATCACGCTCTGCCCGATCGACTCCCCAGCTTTGAGCAGCGTCTCGATCGGCACATCCGAGTTCTTCAACAGGTCGTCATCGAACCTGTCCGTATCGCTGTGCGTCAGTCATTGAATTCAAAAGAAGAGGAGATGAAGGGAGGGGGGACGCACTTAATGATGCCTTTGGGGAACAGTATGACGACGGTGCTGCCCCCGTAGGCAAAGTACCCAAGTTCGTCGACGCGTTTCACCGTGGCGCCCTTGCCTGCAGTCCACGCGATGCTGCCGACCTGCACAGCTACCCATCAGCCCATGCAGACGAGATAGGACGTAGTGGCACGTACAAGCATAGCACCGATGGCGACGAACGCGACAGGCGCGTTCGACTGCGCGTGTGTCATGTAGAGCACGGAGCGCTTGTTGTCGGTGAACACATCGAACCCGGGCTCGTTCACCGCCTGCGGGTTCACTGTGCGCACGCATTGTTGTTAGCTCGTATAAGCTTCGGAGTTGAGCTTGGCACATACCCGTGTAATATTGTCCAGGGATATCGGTGACATCCCCGAGGACGCCATCGATCGGGCTGTGGAAGCGGTGGTAGTCCTGCGGAGCCAATCTGAAACACACGGTCATATCAGGTCTAAAGCCTTCCCAGCGCGACAGTCATGGGAGTAAGACGTACCGGAAGATGCCTACACTCCCGCCCTCGAACATGCGTGCCTTCTCCGACCCCGGTTCAACGCCCAGCAGCGAAGCGATCGAGAACTTACTACCCTTGATCCTAACCCACGAGCATAAACGAGACGCTCTGCCGCAGACGGAATTGCTGACAGAGAAGGGCGTACCAAAACTGCTTTGCAGCGTCGACGGTCGGGTAGACGGTCACACGCGAGTCGGCGGGGCTGCAGAAGCCAAGGGGGTCGTCTGCATTCTGCACCAGACGCGCGCCAGGCTTGAGTTTCCTGTTATTCACATTCACACGATCAGCATCCGTAGGCTTCATGTCAGTTCTGATTTGACGTGCGCAGTCCCCTTCTGCCTTCTAAGACGTCTTCTCAGGCACGCCGCAGTAACGCGGTCGCGCTAGGCAGTGTCAAAGTGGGCGGTGACACGCATTGAACATCGTAAAGCAGCCTCATAGCAAAGGGGATGTACCAATCCTGAGACAACTACGCACAGCCAACTGACCGAAGCAAGGAAACGCACCGGTAGAAGAAGTCATTGAAACACTTGTACTTTGTGATATCCGGCTGCTCCAGCTCGTCGAGGCCGATCGAGTACGTGTTGACGAACGAGGGGATAGACTTGACGGACTCGGGGGAGTCGTAGACCTTCCCTTGCTACCATTGCGTTCAGTGATGGTACACAAGAGGAGACCGAGAATAGCCACGCACACGAAGTGAAAGATCCTTGAGGACAACTTCGACGGAACGATTGTGCAGCAACTTGATCTGGGTGCCGCCGTAAAACATCAAGTGCATACCTAGCCTACGTTCCAAATACACAAGTCAATAACACATTCCGTTGAGGTTGCAGCATTCAAAACCGACCATCCCCAGCATGAACCTGGAGAAACCCCTCACAGGACACAAAACATACGATCAACCCGGAGGCGAATGCCGTGTACTTGTAACCAATTGACTGCGGAAGGCACAGGCATGTCTAACACAACCCACGAAGGTTCCATAGTGCTGACAGACGATGTCTCTCACAAGAATTCACGTAGGGCTCCGTTCGAATTCGGAGACCATATCCATGTTCACCGCAGATGGAGACCTGCCGTGAAGATTATATCTGGGCTCAGACGACGGTCGGGTCTACACGCGTCCGCAAAGTCGCATCGTACACCGAGAATTGGCCGGGGAAAACGAGGACAACTTGCATACGCCCCGGTAGTGTTCCCAGGAAACGGCTGAGATCGAGCGTGAAAGGGGTTTCTGTTGAAGGGCAAGGACCCGCTCAGGTCCAGAGCGTGTCGCTCAGCAAGGGCGTCTTCAGCGATGACGCAATGATGTCTGGTCGAGAAGACCCGTTGAGGATGTGCGACTGACTGGAAAGTGTTTTCCCCGAACACTCTTTTCAAGTGTTTGGAATTCCTTTGACCTTGGGCAAACCCTTAGGTCAGCCCTACGTCAGGCCAAGGCGACTCGATATCGGACCTCACGCATGTGAGACTCTCTATGAGCCACCGACTCCAACGGACCCTAGTGGAGGCCTGGTGTGCGGACTGAAGGCATCACGCGGGCACCGGGGAGATATAACGCGGTGACCTCAGGGGGTCGAGCCTTGACACGCTCAACTTCCGAAGGCAATCGCAGGAAGACACGAGGTTGGAAACTCAAGGGACATCCCACACGACCAGTCGAACTTTGAGACTCGATGGAATATCATCTCACTCACCGAGGGTAGATAGGCATGCTCTCAAATATCTTCTCGCCCGTGCTCCGTACGATGACGAAGTTGCCTACATGGTACTCGTTCGCGAGCTTCTCGAGACCTGGGATGAGCTTGTGGATGAGCGGGATGTTGTATAGCTGGTGGAAAGGGGCGTGTATGGACTGCTTGACGTCCGCGTGCTCCTCTGAGTGGTCTACGAGCTTGTCGAGGGCGTCTGCGACCTGGTTGGGGTCCTGTACCTCGGGGAGGCTGTCAGGACGAATGGTTTCGATAGGCTTGGACTGCGCGGCTTCGGCTGAGATGTGCGCCATGGCTGGGTAGTGATGGTCGATGTATGGAAAGAAAGCAGGGTGAGGTAAGGTACGGGGGTGGGGTCATATAAGGGACGAGCGCAGGCATGATTGGGGACAGAATTAGCAGCGTCGACAGCGCCCGGGTTTTGCGGTCTATAGTGTGACGTTCGCTCCCATTGGACAATGGTGACGTCTAACCTTAACCTCACTTCGAAAGGTTCCTTGGGCGTCGACCATCGCTCCTTCCGGTCGTCACCATCTCGTTGCCTCGTACATTTCACATTAGGTGAGCCCTAGTCCGAGTAGATGGGAATCCCATGAGGGGCCAATTCGAACGCTGTTTCCTACTGCCCTTCACTCGTGCACACGAATCATCTCTGATTAGAGTCTTGCACCGGGCTATCTCCTACATCCAAGTACGCTCGATGACGACATTCTGCGGCGCACACGTCAGGAGAAATATGCACAAGTGTCCGAAACGTTGACACAATGGCGTCTCGGTGGCTCTCTTTATCTTGTGCATGGCGCGCCTCGCGCCAGGAATGACCGCGGGTCTACCGGTGAGCCTTTCGACCTTCCCGCAGGTGCGTAGGTCGGTCGGATACGGGTCGCAGATCAGGTAATCCGTCTCTGAAGGGATACGCTCGCCACATGGCTAGTCTCCGTATGCCACTGCAGAAGGATGTCGTTGAGCTCTCCCTGAGCACTGGATGCTCACGGTATCGAGTAGCTACCCATCGCTACGACCCGGAGAATTCATTCGACAATGTGAATACCAACGCGGTCAGATGTTCTTGCCCCCGAGCCGTCCTTCCTATAGATAGTGCGGTCTATCCTCATCTACGAAAAAGTTGTCGCCCTTCACAGAGTGCGTACTTCCGACCCCATGCGTATTTGACAGGGGGACTCAGGCTCTTTTAAGTATGAATGCATCCGCAACGCCTCGTGCTGCCTCAAGTTTGCTTCTATGGCGCTATTCTCGCGGACATACCTGTGGTCTAGCCCTTCACAGACTACATCCACCTTCGCAGGCACCCGCACCCTCACCGAGACGAACATATTGTGCATACTGTTCAGCACTTCCTAGCGTTCAGACAGACCATTCGCGAATCGAGCAGGGACTTGCGTCTGGACGCTTCCGGACCCCTGCGAGCTGCCCCGGGCCGTCTACCCTGTACGACGTATGCCATCGGCTCCAACTCTACCGTCCCCTCAAACCTGTGTCGCGGTAATCGGTTACGCTACGGGGGGTTGTGCAACGATGACCCAGACCACTATCCTCTGCCAACCTCGACAACGAAGCCGTCCTCGTCAAGTTCTGCATGCGGACGCACATCGCGATCTCGCGGACCGCAATTTCGCCCCCGTGCTGCACGCACTGCAAGTAGGAATGTCGCGTGATCGACAATCCTAGTCGCGTCGGATGACACGCTTTCAACGTGAACACACACGATCATGCACCCTTCCTAGCCATTTCGCGCCCTTCGAGACATCAACTGTCTCTCCTCCGCATCCATCATGTCACGGACGTTGGACAGACGCCCCTTTTTGCCGCCCATTCCCCTCCCTTTGACGCCCACCTTCCATTCGCGGACCATTTCCTTTTCTAGCCCATCCCAATTTGGACACTGTAGATACGTTCCCACAGCCGCATGCTACGATCCCGTGATCGCCATGCCCTTGCCTTTTCTTTCTCGCCCTTTGTTCTCTCTTTGTCATCTTCACTGCCTCACTCTCGCGCCTTGTCCTTGGTTGCTAAGCAGCCCCTCTAGTATATAAAGACCCCCTTAGGCGCTCCCTAGTCCCCATCTCGACCTCTTGGTCATTGGGACTAGGTGAGTGACCATAGCGTTGTACTTCCCTTCGAGTGCTAATGCATAACTTGGTCATTGGGACTAGTCTGTCGCTGTCCGCGTGAAGACTAGCTTTCGTAGG